TGCTGCAACATGCTGCAATTTGCTGCAACATGCTGCAATTTGTTGCAAAATGTTGCAAAATGCTGCAATTTGCTGCAAAATGCTGCAATTTGCTGCAACATGCTGCAATTTGTTGCAGAATGTTGCAAAATGCTGCAATTTGTTGCAAAATGTTGCAAAATGCTGCAATTTGCAGCAACATACTATTCGAGCTTATTGCTCGTACTATGTAGCAGCTTTCGTCCAGCGTTCCTCCTGTCTTGACAGTAGGTGCGCATATCTGACAAAGCTAAAGGCGCTGCGGACAGTGCAATTAGACTAGGCATAACGCGCAAACGTGTAAGCAAGAAGTAGAAGTAGTATCTAAATAATATTCTAAGCTGTACTCTACTCTATAGTGCTAGAGCGGGTTGTTATAAAGTTTGTTGTGGTGTGGTCTTGGCAAATGTGAGCAACTCAGGTGTGTGAGCAACTGCCAATCCCCGACACACCGATGCGGCTGATGCTAATCCCCGACACACCGATGCGGCTGATGCCAATCCCTGACACACTAATGTGGCTGATGCCAATCCCCGACACACCGATGTGGCTAGAGAGGTGGAACAGACGCAACTATCTATAATGTAAACATGTTTTACACAACGCATGCTAGAGTAAACTTCATGCAAATTAACAGAAAGGTGCACCTATATTAGGTATACATTTTTTTAAAAAAAGAATGTAAGAAATACATAAGGTGACAGAGAAATAGCGTTACTAGGGTTTATCTGAAGAAATTCTGACTAACTAGCGCGTCCAAAAGAGGAGATTCTGCTCAACTTTTCGTTCTGCAAACCCGAATATAATAAGCAGAGCAAGCTCTGCTAATAAATATTTAGTAGTCTTATTAAAAGCTACTATAATTATATTACACATCTTTTCTATTTCTAGCTTCTTAGATAGGGGAAGTCTTATAATAAAATCTATTATAATTATTATCTATAGTAGTTTTAGAGCCTTAATTAGCTAAAGGCATCTATAGGTCTTATGCCTTTATAGGTTATTTTTGTTACAAGTGTTACATTCCTTAAGCACCTTAGTGCATAATTACTTTACCTTTAGTATACATTATAGTATAGCAGCTTGTAGCTTCTTCCAGAGAGTGCCTATACCTAGGTGTCTAAACATTAAGGATTTGTAATACTTATAGATTAGATTTTTTTATCTCTACTTATTTACTATAAGCATGTAAAGTTCTTTTATAAGTTAAAGCCTGTTATAGATTTATTCTTTATTAGTCTTTTTAAAAAAAGTAAACTTTTTAGTTCTTTCTTCTTCTTTATTAAAGTAATCTAGCCTTTAGCTAAGAGTGTTAGCCTGCTAGTTTTATGCTTTTAAGACATGCTTAATAATATAATTAAATTACACAAGCTCTATTACTTATTTTATGTGCATAGGTAAGAGTTTTTTTACTGTTAAAAATGTAACTAGGTTTATGTAATTTATTATAATATAAAAAGGTTTTGCTATCCTGTGTAGCTCTGTAGCTTATACCTATACTGCATTTAGTATTGCTTTTAATTCCTTATTAGATATGCTATAGCTAGCTTTAGGTCCTAAGAATTTAGCAGAATAGTACACTACTAGATGCTATTTCTTGTCCTCCTGTTTCTAGTAAAGTGTAGCTCTGCTAGCTTCTAAGAATGCGTTTATATAGATCTTAGTATCTAGTTATAGGTTGTACATCCTTAGCACTAGTTTAAATGTTATAGCTTATTTTAGTGCTATAAATGCCTTATTTATTTATAAGATCTAAGTAAACTTTACTATAGCCCTTTCTTTAGTAGTAGCATTTGTTAAGAGTATAGTAATTCTTAAGTAGTCTTTAATTATTTGCCTAATGTAGCTTAATAGCCTAAAGAATTCTTTAACTTCCTTAACTGTTATAGGTTCTAGCTATTTAAGTACCTTTTATATCTTAGCTAAGTTAATTTTTATTTCTTTACTATTAATTATAAATTTTAAGTATTTTATTTTAGTAATGTAGAATTTGCATTTAAAAAGCTAAAAATAAAGTCTATACTTTTTTAGCTTTTCTAGAACTTTTTATACCTTCTGTATGTAGTCTTCTAGGCTATCCTTTAAGTAGATAAAGACGTTGTTTAGGTATACTAAAGTAAAAACATTAAAATATAAGTTAAAAGCTATGTTAATAATCTACTAGAATGTTACTAGAGCATTTATTAAGCTAAATAGCATTACTAATAGTTTATAAAGTTATTAAGGGGTTTAAAATGCTGTAAGCTATTTATCTCCCTTTTTTATTCTTATTTTATTAAATCTGTCTTATATGTTAAACTTTATAAAGTACTAGGTTCCTTTTAACTAGTTTATAATGTCTTATATAATTAGTAAAAGGAACTAGTCTTAGATTATAT